GCTTTTTTCTTACTGTCCTGTTAAGTGTCTGGATGAAACAATATTAAAAGTGTCTAAAATGCTGATGATCCCGTGATGATTGGGAAGCTGAACATACAGATGAGAGGTTAAGCAGTCATATACAGGACGTGAGAATTCTTGGTACTGTTTATGTGGTACTGTACAGAGAAATTTAGTCGCAGTATGTGATGTGTGCAGTCCCCTGTGTGAACATGTTGTACACTGGTATAAGGAAGTTAGAGACCGTACAGCGTGGCATTTATTAATCTGGATTTTCTGTGATAAGATGTGATAGTGTTTATTAATCTGGTTTTCTTATTTTCTGTGATTATGAGTTATGTTAAATTTATATTTATTAACATGGGGTTTTTTTTAAACGATTTTAAGAGAGATAGGTGATGTTTATTTAAAAAAAATGTTTCCAGTTTATTAATCTCGATTTTCTACTTCAACAGTGTACAGAGATTGGCATACCATGCTTGTGATCAACTCCATTCAGGTTGCCAGAATCCCCACGCCAACAGTTGATGACAATGACAGCAGCACAGATTTGACAGAAATTTAGTTGCTTGTCATGTTTATGTTGGTGTGTTATGGCTGACATTTGTATAAAGCTTAGTTAGATTCAAAGGATTACATTTCTTTCACTTTATTGTTTCTTTTTTCCACGTGGGAGACCCGGGTTCTAATCCTCGCCAAGGTGATGCATGTTTTTCTGCTGGGGGGGGGGGGGGGGGGGGGGGGGGGGGGGGGGGGGGGGGGGGGGGGGGGGGTTGGGGGGGGGGGGGGGGGGGGGGGGGGGGGGGGGGGGATGGGGATATTATAATCATCCCAGGCTACAGTTTGTGATTACTGTTTTACTGTGCAGTCTTGAATGCTTAGCCCTTGGTTAAAACGTCCGTCGAGTGGGAACAACTACTGTACTGTTGAGATTCAACCCTATAACCAGAGATTTGCTCGCAGCCTAGATGAGCAACATCTCTTGCGGGCAACAACTTGCAGAACAGTACTGTCTCTGTTACTGCGGACATCGCTGTAACTGCATTGAGGTACACCATGACATCCTACCACTGCCACTGTGCTGATTTGGCATAAATGTGATATATGTCCTATGGCACAGAAAATCCCAAACGCCCAACCGAAAAAATCCCACTGACAAGTTTCACATGCCGTTACCATTGACACAACTCGCCAGAGTGTGTGACCTAAATGGGGTTACTATGCCGGATGCATGCTTTGCTATACTGTCTTGATTAGTTTCCAGGTCAAACAGCGTTAAAGGTGTCTTAAGTGCCGAAGAAAAATTTACTTATTTCTGTGAGCATCAAAGTCGCAGACTTGCAAATTGCTTCCTGTTTATCTCTGGAAGGCGCAACCCATGAGGATTGGAAAGCTCAACATACAGATGTGAGAATAAGCAGTCATATGCAGGACATGACGATTCCTTGGGTGAGCACAGGACCAGAGCATCTTGTGTTGGCTCTGCATTTATGGAAGCCTCCTTGGATGGGGAGGAATACCCATGATCTGCCCCTGCCATCCCTTAAGGGCCTACTTGTCTACACGCAGATGCCCTAAAGGGGCACCACCTGTAGATAAGGGGACAAAGAGAATACACCACACCAGAGAGGCCACAATATGTCCCTGTCCCACGAAACTACCCGGAAAGTTAACCCAGTTAGCAATTTGCTTGATAAAGTCGGATGTGTTAGCCAAAAAGGCAGCTTTGTTGCGCACAAAGGCACAATGCGTGTATGTCACTCCAAAAAGAAGAGCCCTAAAACTCAAGACCTCCCTGTCATTAAAAAAAAAAGCATTAATCTTCTTATAGTCCATGCCGCATGGCATTGTAACAGACCCACAGAGCATCGGAAAGAGGTTCTGGAAGATATTCAACACTGAGGGGGAAAGTCAAGACTTTTTAATCAGGTTGCAACTGGTACTATTAGCATAATGGCTCATTAGCTACTGAAGAGAGAGACAGAGCATGTCTGGGAATGTCCCAAGTGCAGTGATCTCAATTCTAGATTCACTGATTCTGTTATTTCTGATAAGTAGTTTCACTCTTAGATTTGCTCTCCTTTTATTCTCAACTTTTTGAATACTTGTAGATGCAAAAGTTTATTGGCCCTTCATTTTTGTTATGTTTATGTCATAATTAATAAAAATACATTTTACAGAATATTGAATACATTGATCACACAAGTGTTGTTTGTTTATGTCCAGATTATCAGAATTGGTAAATATCTGTATATGTTAAGAGAAGATACTCAATTCAGGGTTGAAAGGTGTATCGATGGAAGCACTAACACACAACACCCGTCATCTTTCTCTGCTTTCCACTTGTTAAACAAGTGTCTAATAATTTAGTCCTATCAATTTCTTGATGTCATTCCAAATTCTTCTCCTACCCACCCCCCCCCCCCCCCCCCATCTTGATCGACAGTACATCCCCCCAACCCTTTCCCAATTTTTCCTGAAGACTAGCCAAAAGAGGCTCTTGATATCCTGCAAATTTGTCTATTCTGTCTGTTACATGTTTGTTAGTTTTATGTTCTAAATAGCTAATTTATAAAATTTGTCTACAGCATTTATGTTCAAATGTTTGCATTTCTGCAGTAAGAGTCTTAACTCTTTGAGTCCCAGAGGGTTTAGCATCACAGGCCCAAGGGGTAGTCAAAAGACACGTAAAATCGGTACACCATGCATTCATTGGGTTTCTAGACAGTAATCTATGAACGTATTATGTGTTCGCTGGGACTCAAAGAGTTAAATCCTTATAAGAAGTCGGACAATACCAGTGATCTGAATATTGACCTTTACCACTGTTGATTTTGCTCTTCCACATCTGTCAGACTGCAATCTTGGATGGGATTTTTTTTTTAACATAAGCTGCTTGGCACTAAATATTATTGTTGACATGCTAACAAAACTAAACCAACCACCACATCAGTAACTGTTGAGTAAGATTATTTTAAGGTATGAGAATAGTTTGCGTGATAAATCTTTTGGGGGAAAAAAAAAAATGTACACAAAGTGATCAGTTTTAGCAGCTTTACACTGCAGTTTAAATGTATACTACAGTAAAGTCATGAAAATTGAGGTTGTTCATCGTGTTTACCAGCTGTAAACTCCTGCAGAAAGTTCCGATTGTTCATCCACCTCTGGACTTAAAATCTTGTTCCAGAACCTGAGGGTTACCCGTTTCACAGATCTGACTTATTTATATGCAAACTGTTGGTTCCTTGCCTCTCAGGCAAAAGCACTTCAAAGGAAGCCCTGAATTAGTGGAAACTTACAACATGCTTGTTGAGGAGGCAGTGGGTCTATTCTTGTTGTCCCTACAATGGGGTCCCGGAACCCACAAGGGGGGGGATCGAGTTCATGTTACAAAAAAACTGCGTACTGACTGACTGAAGACACAATATTACATACCAGCTGGGACCAAAATTGTGTTTATGTTAAGTGAGTGTTCTTCTTAAGCAAGTTCGTGATAATGAGGTGTATACGTTTCCCATGTTGGTTCTGGGGCCCCTATTTTGGGGGGAAAAAAGAATAGAATCCTCTAATTCAGAAATGATTCTAACAAGTAGGGGGTATGGTTAGGTGATTTGTCAGAATCCTCGCATATAGAAGTGGTTCTAGCAACAAGGGTCAAAATCCTTACAAAGTCCTCAGATGCACCGATTTTCAAGCTGTCATGTAACAGACTTGCACCTGAGTGGGGTTAGTTCAATGCCTTTCTTTTCCACCCAGCACTAAGGCCTTTCCATCCAGCACTAAGGCCTCTCCACCCAGGACCAGCCTCTCCAGCCAACACTAATGCCCCTCCACCCAGCACTAAAGCCTCTCCACCCAGCACTAAAGCCTCTCCACCCAGCAATGAAGCCTCTCCACCCAGCACTAAGGCCTCTCCACCCAGGACCAGCCTCTCCAGCCAACACTAATGCCCCTCCACCCAGCACTAAAGCCTCTCCACCCAGCACTAAAGCCTCTCCACCCAGCACTAAAGCCTCTCCACCCAGCACTAAGGCCTCTCCACCCAGGACCAGCTTCTCCAGCCAACACTAATGCCCCTCCACCCAACACTAATGCCCCTTCACCCAACACTAAAGCCTCTCCACCCAGGAATAAAGCCTCTCCACCCAGCAATGAAGCTTCTCCACCCAGCACTAAGACCTCTCCACCCAGCAATGAAGCTTCTCCACCCAACACTAAGGCCTCTCCACCCAGGACCAGCCTCTCCACCCAACACTAAAGCCTCTTCATCCTGCACTAAAGCCTCACCAACCAGCACTAAAGCCTCTACACCCAGCACTAAAGCCTCACCAAACAGCACTAAAGCCTCTCCACACCGCACTAAAGCCTCTCCAAACAGCACTAAAGCCTCTTCATCTTGCACTAAAGCCTCTCCAAACAGCACTAAAGCCTCTTCATCTTGCACTAAAGCCTCACCAACCAGCACTAAAGCCTCTACACCCAGCACTAAAGCCTCACCAAACAGCACTAAAGCCTCTCCACACCGCACTAAAGCCTCTCCAAACAGCACTAAAGCCTCTTCATCTTGCACTAAAGCCTCTCCAAACAGCACTAAAGCCTCTTCATCTTGCACTAAAGCCTCACCAACCAGCACTAAAGCCTCTCCACCCAGCATTAAAGCATCTCCACCCAGGACTAAAGCCTCACCAAAACACTAAAGCCTCACCAACCAGCACTAAAGCCTCTTCATCCAGCACTAAAGAAACCCAACACTAATGCCTCTCCACCCAGCACTAAAGAATAATCTACCTGGGCTATTATAGAGCTCTCCTTCAACTCTCCAAGCAAGAGTGCATGGCTGGTACTGAAGCTTTACATTGCACACAGTACATTAGTGGAACGACTGGCATTTTCAGCAGGCAAAATTTGCCAAGGGAAATGTAGCACCTGTGGGTTTCTCCAGAAAGTTGTAGCGTCAATTCATTAACTATTAGCTTCAAAATAGCATGTTACTTGATCAGTTACAAGCATATTAAACTGCTGTTGGCCTCTCGTTTCACTCTCCCTAACAGGTAACCATACAAGAAAAGAGCTCTATCCCTCACATGTCTATTCTCATCTTTGATGCACTGCTCCATTAGTTTAGCCAGCAGTGGCTGAAGCTTCCCGGGGTGTTCAAAACACATCTTCACCATGGCCCCTAATAAGGTCAGCTTCAGCTTCTGACTGTCCGAATGATGCCTTTGTTGGGTGTGATGACTGCTGACATCTCTCTTCTGCATATGTTCTTCCTTGTCTGAATCTTTCTCCTCCTGTTCCCATAACATCTGCTCAAGTATTTCTGGGGCATTCCTCAGCAAACTGCCATGTGCTCGAATAATTTCCAGCAGCGCCACCTTGCCAGAGACTGACTGAATCTGCTGATAATTGTCTTGTATGCACGGAGCCAGGGTTAACCAGTGCTGACTGTTTGAGAAAGTTACTGTAGGCAACAGCTGAAAAGAGAAAAAAATATACATTTAGAAAGATATATATACACATTCAGAAATTAAATATTCTGAAAATATTCATTAAAAGGTTTAAAAAAAAAAGTTGTGTATCCTTTACATGATATTGCAAACCCAACCCTAGCAATTGTTATGGCTGTTATGGTTTTTCTAGCAAATTTTATGTTCAGTAGTTTGCCATTGCTTCCTGAATGGGTGGCTTTCAATATCACTGTCAAAACCAATGCAAGAAGGTCTGCTGCCATATTGCCTGCCGCTGGGACTGAACCCAGCACCCTGGCATGAAGTTCGCATAGCCCAAGCCACAGATGCTAAAGTTAAATGTGTATCCTTAACAGAACATTGCAGAACCAACCCCAGCATTTTTTGGCTGTTGTGGTTTTTCTAGGCAAATTTACATTCAGTAGTTTGCCATTGCTTTCTGGACGCCCTTACCAACGAAAGGACAGATGCCAACAAAGGTTAAAAGAGAATTAAGTGAATCTATGGTTAATTTTCAGAAACAACAGACTGCACAAGAATGTAAAACAGATGTGCATGCAAATCTCAAGTCCTGGAACAAAGCCAAAGTCCAGAAATGGATGAACAACCAGGAAATTCTGTCGGAGTTTACAGCCGGTGAATGCAAGCAACAACATCAGATGGAAGAATGGACAGAGAAATCAAATTGCAATGTGCAAAAGCAAATCAAGCATGGAGACAAATAAAACTACCACTGATACACAGAAAGATATCCTTGAATGCCAAGACCAATCTCATCAGAACTATTATCAGAACTTTATGCTACCAATGTCCAACATGGGACTCTTATTACATATGTGAGAGCAAAATAATAATAAGCAAAATAATAACAACAGAGATGAGAATTCGTGGAAGAGTTACTGGGGTAATGAAAAGAAATGCAGCAATAAGAAGAAAAGACAAGAGTAATAAAAAGAGATAAAATAATGGTTCTATATTTTTAACATCCCCCAAACACGAAATTCCTGTGGGAATTCCACAGCTGACTTGACAGTCCATTATTTCAAGGGGTGCAAGTGTGCTGCTGTCTGCTGCTGTCTGCTGCTGTTTTTGAGTGTTCATCTAGTGTCTTATGGTGCGACATATTTCGGTCTGTTGATGTGCATAAATAATAATAAGAAATGAGAGGAAGACTAGGACAGAAACCAGTGATACAGTCCACTAAAGAGCAACAGATGAGATGGTTTGGCCATGTGATGAGAATTTCCTGGTACCAGTTGCCACTGATGAAATTCAATGAACACAGGGCAAGAAATGCAACGGCAGCATTAAGAACAGCCTTGAAGAATTGAGATCAACTTATACAAGACATCACCAAAGGCACACACAAGATCCTCACATCTCTACACTAACACTTCAATGAGGTAACTAGAGAAAAAAGAAGAAACAATGTTAAACATAAATATATGGAAAACATTTGCTCAGCCGGTGTATGCAGAAAGTAAATATTCCCACTCAGAGTCTGATAAACTACAGAAATAACGCAAGGTTACTGCACAATAAAACTGGCCTTGTGTAGAGCAAACATGTCTGAGATAGGTGGAAGATGGTGAGAAAATGTTGACCTTTGACCAGCTCAGACTGGTTGATGTTTCATGACATGAGCATAGTTTGCTGTCGCACAGTATTTGAAGAGGTAGTGTTTAATGTCATGCATCATAACATTGCTGTTATCTGACAAACGGCAAAATGTTGTAACAAGAGTAACATGGTGTCAGAGAATGACAGGTTACAGCCAAGCAATTTTCTTCAGTTAATGGGAAGTCGTCTATATCCCTCACACTCCAACTTTGAAAGAAACACCCCTATTAGGCAACTTTTATTACATGTCTGTTGGGCGCTGGGGGAAGGGGAGGGGTTGTAGTGAGTCTTCTTGTTTTGCCTCATAACTTACAATGAAACATCAGAGATAAAGAGCAACAAGACTTTACCCAGCCCTACATAAAAACTCTATGGTGATTTAATAAACCTGGACAGTCAAATGTATTACATGTTCACCTGAGTAAACAAAGAAACAAGAGTCCCAACCACGAAAAGATTAGGCAGCCAAAGATTACTTACCTGTATGACACAATCAAGAAAATCAGCATTGCCAAGCTGGAGCAGCTTCTTGAAGAAGACAACACAAGATTCCTCTATTTCAGGTTTCATGCTCATGGCCTCAACCACACTCTCAACCATTTCTCGGAGGGTTCCCGAACATAAATGCCTGGCACTTCTTGCCAGTTCCTCTAGAATGCTTTCAGCATTGTCTGGGGTAATTAACCTCGACAACATCCGTATCTTCTGCCTAATCAGGAAGATACTCTCATCATCTCGGCAAAAAAACTTGGTATAATCTTGAACCAGAACATCAACAGGAAATCCTGTAGTACACAGATAGTCAATCACAGCTGTTACCACTTCTTCACTACGTTCACGTGCCAAATTTGTTTTAATAGCCAACCAGGCATTTGAATATGCTTTTGATCTTACTTTACTTAAATCACTGGCTAGGTGACAAAACAACTCCAGACTGCAGAGTGTTGTCGCTAAAGAACTACTTTTTGACAAACTTTCATCAAGGTCATTCAAATGATCAAACATCTGTACTTTTGATTTTGGTGAATGTTTTAACAAAAACTGTAAAACAAATCTTTGAACTGTAGGAGTGAATAAAGCCAATTTACTGATTAGGTAATGTCCCAGTTTATTTGAAATTACAATACCCTTTTCTTTAGCAAAAATTTCTTCTAATGCACACAGACAACTGGCAACTGTTGCAGAATCAGAATCACTCAAGTGAGTATAAAGCAGATCCCATATTCTTCCCTCTGTGACAGATGCTGGTGACACACGGTGCAGACTGACAGATGCCAAAGCTGCAGATCTTCTAACATATGGGCTGCTATCTTCCAGTCCAGCACAGACAGCTGAGGTCAGCATCTCCACTGTTGAGTGAGATTGCAGAGATGCAAGAACTCGAAGACCATGTCCACGCACAAGTGGATTCACATCTTGACAATCCTGTACAAGCGTGTTAGTAGCAAGTAGAACCATCTCTGGCACTTGTTCTGCATAAATGGCCATCAATTCTCCCACAACACGTTTCACAAATATGTCAGTATGAGCTAGCAGCTTGACAACAGTTGGCAAGGCTGCAGTAACATCACCTCCATTTGTAGCCAATGCCAGGATCTAGAGAACAGAATGAAATTAAGAGACAATAGATAAATTTGTTATTTACTACTACAACAAAGACAAATACCACCAATACTTATTTCTCTATTGAGTTGACCTGCTGCAGACTCCAACAGAAAGTCTTGGTGGTTAGTCCACCTCTGGACTTGGGTCTTGTTCTAGTACTTGAGTTTTGCAAGCACATCCATTTTACAGATAAGGTTATTGTGTGCAGACTGTTGGTTCCTTGCCTCTCAGGCAGATGCCCTCAGACTTTGAAGGAAACTTTGATCCTATCTACAGTGGCAAGAACACAGGTTGAGGCACTCTTCCAAATAACGGTCCCAAATTATTCAAAGACAAAAAATCCCATTCAGGGCCTCAAAAGGTCATAGTTAGGGACTTGAGAGGTCATGTAGTTCAAAACACTATGAACTATGCTTTCTTTTTTTATATAATTTCGTTTGAACAAAATTACTGATGTCTTCGCTAGTACAGTTGATAAGCATTCTGCCTGTTATGCCGGTGATCAGGGTATGATTCTCCAGGGGGGGGGGGGGGGGGGGGGGGGGGATAATTTTTTTTCGTTAAAAGGGTGGTTTGCACATTGTGGTTAACAGCTAATATTTTGTACAACGCCTTGAACCCCTTGAGGCTCTAAAAGGGATGTTTTGGACAGTAAGTAATTTGGGACCGGTATTCGGAAGAGTGCCCAGGTTGAGAACCATTTCTACGATGACTGATGACCACGGAAGGGTTTAGACAAGTGTTGACCAGTATGAGTCCTGGTTTTGGTGCACCCCTACATGTAGTTTGGCAGCCCCTGCATACCATCACTACTACATCTAGAGTATGTAGGAATGACATTAGCCATTGCTGCCCATCAAACAATGGATAGCAATCTGTTAGAGGTTTGAAAAACGAATCATTCAATCAACATCATGACACACGGGCAGTAACTCAAAGTGCTCCGTTCAAGTCGAGTCCGAAGTAACTCATACTCAACGCAGTGCACGGGCTCCGCAGCACCTGAAATATTTTATGTAGATTTTAAACTCCAAATTATCCCCTGGCAGCGCCGTTAGGTCGCAAAACAGTTCTTCCCCACCAAACGCTTAACTTTAACGGCAGAAGTAGGAATTGATGATGATGATTTTTATTAATTTATAATAAATAATAATATTATGATATTATGTATAAAATAACATAAACTTTAAATTTAATTTATCTGAAAACATAGAAATAAGACGTCTGAATACTCACCTCATAAATATGTGAACGAACAAGGCGAACATCTCGTCGAACTTCTGTATCATTTAATTTGTTTACAATCGAAGCCAAATCTTGATGGACGTCCGCCATTTCTGCTACAATAGTCACGTGACATTTCTTCTGCAACTCTTCAATTGTCCGTCCAACAACATTGTCACAGCCAGTGTTGCCACTAAATCGATGAGGACAAAATGGAGAACGCTAAAGGCCTTAGATACAGTATCATAAACACATTAATTAGCATGTAGTGGCTGTCATTCACAGAGAGAAGCAAAAATTCGACATCATCATATGCCACCCCAGTGAGCGTAGGATGTCATGTTTGATATCTCACATGATTCCCACGAATCACGAACCAGTTCAGTAATCTGGTAATCCTAGTTTCAGCATCATAGCAAACGGGTCACCCCATTGTTGCTCCGCTCCTGTGCCAACGAAAAACACTCGTAGCTCACAGTGTCACACCATGCACTCAACTCAGAAGCTGGGTGACGAAACTATATCCTTCCAGTCTACAAATGGAGCAAAAATGCAACGGCCACCGCCTGGCAGAGCTGCCACGGCTTTTAAAAAAAAAAATTTAAAAAAAAAATAAAATAAAAAAAAAAACAATAAAATAAAAAAGTGGTCGTGCCTAGTGTCCACTGTGACTTGAAGCATTATGTGAGGGGTTAACAAATGGTCACCCCAGCAGTACCCTCACTATTAGCTGGGAAAGGGACTTAGGACATTACATCCACCAGCAGGCGTCGCCCCTACAACGACCTGACTGCCTTCGTTAACGACTGTTCACCTAACAGCCATGCAGTTCTTTGGCACGAAGGAGACACCTTGAACTTGGGTTTCGGAATGCCGACTTCCTACAAAATGTTATTTTGTGTTTTGTTATCACAATCGACGTCACTGCACATTGGGCATACCCATGCGTGCGCAGTCCTCCGAAGCAGCAGCCACTCCAAAGTACTTCTACTAATTATCCCCATGAGAAGCTGGTTATATTGTCTCCTTTCTCGGCCTCGCAGACGGCAAAGACGTGCTTCACCATGCTTAACTCCCATGTCACGCAATCGTGTTAGTGTCAGGGATTCGATATTATCCACTAGCCCAGTACGTACAGCGTTAACGATATCTGCTCTGTCCATGCTTTTTCCCGCAATCATTAGTGCTGTGCGAACCAGTTCAGTGTTCTTTCTCGCCTTATCCATGCATGCGGTCAAACCATCCAGATATTTATCTCCTTGGCCTCTTTCCGTCAATCATGCCTGTAGTTACCAAGTTCTCCTTGTCAGTCGTGAATTCTGTAGAGCCACCAATCACTGCCTGCGGACCCAGCCCATCTCTATCTTTTTGAGCATACTCATCGAGTCACTGAGAAAGCATGCCCCAGTGAAAGTCTGTGTCTCTAGCCATGTTACTGCTTTTGTCACGATAAAGGACCCTTTTCCACCTGATTCGCTAGTGGGGGAGGGGAAGGGGGCATACAACAGAAATTTCATTATAAACATACACAGATAATGTGGTAACATTTTATATTGGGGGGGGGGGGGATAATCTAAGATTAGAATCCACCCCTTCGCCTCTGGCCAGATAACACTTACCACGCCCATCTGTATCTTATTTATTTCTGAAGATGGCCGTGCACTTACCCACTACTGATTTAACTAGGTTGCTATGGTCCAGCTTAAACATGGAACAAAATCGTCTGCCCGCGCCAGACAGGAAATCACACCAGTATGCATTTGCAAAACTGGACATGAGAGAGAGAGAGAGAGAGAGAGAGAGAGAGAGAGAGAGAGAGAGAGTGTGTGTGTGTGTGTGAGAGAGAGAGGGGGGGGGGAGGTCCAACAACTGATACATAAAAATACCGATAGACATAGACTTCCGAGCTGAATTAATGCATAGAAATTTTTTTTTTTTCAAGCAAGCGTGATATAACCATGTGGGCTATCGAATGCAAAGTTTTTTTAAACGTTAAAGATCCGTTTCCACGCTTTCAGGCATATTGGGCATGTCAGGCTAGACCTATATTTACAAACTAATCAACACTTAGTAGGGGATAAAATCAGTATAAAGCCGGTCGCTTTTACTTCCTAGGACTTTACCTGGTACTCATATTAGGCTGGGTCGACCTGGTAGCTACGGTAATTTTTAACAAGGTACGGCTTCGATCGGACCTGAAGCCACGACCTTCAGATCTACAGGCTAGTTCTAGCTGCTACACCTCGGCGGCTGCCAAATAGTACAGAAATATAGGACGATTATTATATATTACCTATGCGGCGGATCAAAGGGGGAAAAAAGGGGGGGGGGGGCGGGGGTGATTTCTTGGATTTTCTCTTTGTATATTCTGGTGGACTGGGAACTCACAACTTGAGCCTTCACGCCTTTTAATGTTTTGAAAGCGGGTGAGCTACAAATCCAGTGATTTCCTTTTCGTGGCGCCCCTGACAGACTAAATGTTTGTGCAACAGACTTTGTGACCTCTAACTCGAAATGGTGCTATTTTGTTGCCACTGTGGAAACTCAACAACTTTGACCCAAGACTAGAGGTCAGCTATGCGTTCAGTGAGGGACATTTAATCAACAGAAACATCTAAGCAAGGATTCTCAAACTGCAGGTCGTGACCCCTTTTTTGTATGGGTCGAACGACCCTTTCACAGGGGTCGCCTAAAACCATAAGAAAACGCATATTTATTAAAGTTTTGCAGAAAAAAATTGTTTAGGGATCGCCACAACATGAGGAAACTGTTAAAGGGTCGCGGCATTGGGAAGTTTGAGAGCTACTGCTCTATGCGAACTCGTGCACACGACACGAAGAAGATATTAAAGGTCAAACGGAGCAGGTAGATTTTTCAGTAATCAGAAAACATGTTTTTTTAGGTCCTCATTTTCAAATAATTAGGCTATTTCCATCAAAGTCGGTGTGTTTCTGCCTATAAAGGCTCTGTGCAAATAAGCCAAATCTGTAAAAAGGGATATGCACCTAAAATTAAAGTTCCGAATCTTAAATTTTAGGTGCAGATCCGTTTTTAAGTTCACGACTGAAATCAAGAAGTGGACCACGGCCAACTACACCTTTTTATATGCTCGAATGTTGAATGTTCAATTATTGAATATTAAATGCTGAATTAGGAATCGACATCACAGCACTCGGGACACTCCCATAAATGCTCCGTCCCCATCTTCAGCAGCAAGCTAAGAGATCCAGTTCCTATGGCACCAGTTACCGTTTTATTGTATATCTGCCTCATCCTTATCCTGAGTATTGAGCGTCTGCCAGATCACCTGGTAACTGCTCGCAGCGCAATTCAACTCAGACCGTAATGATTTTTTACGGCTATTCACTTTTCACTCGTTCCCATAGGGCCCTCACAATATATAGCTTGCCCAACGTCAATTCTATCTGCCTGATCATTTCCCAACACACCAGCATAACCTGGAGAAAATATCCAAAGGATGCTAACTACACGGGACCTCTGAAGTGATGCTTGTCATTCTGCACGAAGTTCCGTGGAGTGGACAAACAACCAACAGCTTGCATAGAGGTTTTCAGCGGTTATTGCTTAAAAGAAGTTTAGGTACCCAGTCTGCCACCCCCCTCACCCTCCAAAAAAACGATGTCATTTCGGAGACCAAGGTTCGAATCCTCGTATTCACCATGTGGGTTCCAGAGCCCCAAAGGCCGTCACACATGATCACCAGAATCACGGATCAGGTCAGTGCTTGTGGCATCCTTATCTACATGACCAAGCCATCTTGGTATTTATCCCTGTGTCTTCCCATCGCCGTCTGTGGCATAGGCGTTGCGAACGCGCTACATAACACCGGGGTGCCAGGTTCGATCCCTGCTGCGGGCGATTTTGCAGCAAACCGTCTTGCGTTGGTTTTGACAGATGTGTCAAGAACCGACCGTTTAGTGACAACGGCAACTGCTGAACGTAAAATGTGCCTATAAAAACCACAACAGACAAAACATGCAGGGGTTAGTTCTGCAGAGTCCTGTAAAGGATACGCAACTAACTTCCCCTAGCTCTGTTTCCAACCGTGTATCTAACTGTAACTTTTTCATCTTTTTATTCTTCTCTTTCGCCGGTTTTAAATTCCAGCGAAAAGTTCTGCTTGTTCATCCACATCTAGACTTAGTCTTGTTCCAGAACCTGGGTGTTGCGTACACATCCTTTTAAAATATATGACTTATTTGTGTGCAGACTATTAGTTTCTTGACCCCCCCCCCCCCCCCCAGCAGATGCATTACAACTTCGAGTCCAAACACTGACTGACTACGTTTAATTGCTATATTTAGGTTACGGTTTTCACCTGTCTTGGTGTGCAAGTGTCAAATTGCAACATCTTCAGTTACAATTAGTCAAACAAATGTCTGATAATTAAATAGGCAAAGTGGAAATGCAAAGAACCCCTAAGCGTCTCTAATTTGTTTACATTTCCTCCCAAACACAATTGCGAAATGATACCCCTACACCGTTAGAGACCCTGTCGCAAGCTAACCTGGTATCATAAATATGTCAAGGCCAGCCAGTGAAGGTAGCCGTCCATGTTTTTGAAACAGTCTGGTGTATCTAAGTGAAAGTTTAGTGTCGATATAGCTGGGTTGCCATATTGGCATTTTTGATGCCAGAATCCACAAATTTGGCATATTTGAAATTGAAATAGCATAAGATAACTGGCATATTTTGGCATATTTGGGTTTTTCCTGGCTTTTCTTATCAAAATATGATCACATTTTCTTCATGGTCCCCCCGTTAGAAACACGCAGATTTACTAAAAGCAATGTAGACCTACAGTTAACATCTTTATGTCAGTTTGACTTTGTTGTTATGTCCTGGTATGGACTAACGGAGATTCGCTCCATTTTGTATTGTAATTGTTGTCCTACTAAACGGATCGTGACTTCGATAAACCAGTCCCTCTTTAATTTATGTTAATCTATTAGAATAAATGCGGGATATAAAATCAAAACCCACCACTGATACCAAGTGATTCAGACTGTTCAGAAACTACTTGAGGACAGAAAATAGAGAGGATATAGACCTAGTTCCATCTGTAATAGATTTTATTACTTTTACCAATG